CCGCCCTCCTCCAACCTGCCCCCGGTGGTCCTGACTCATTTATTCATCAAATATGGCTGACGAACCCAGCCACCTGCTGGTCATGGAGAAGGTCAGAAGCATCGTCTCTGACCCTGGGCCAGTCCACAAGGACTTGACAAAATGAGCAGCTACTTACAGAGCTGGGGGGCCAGGCCGGGTGTGGGGGGTGGCTCCCTGCGGGCGAGGTCATGACCGGCCAGCTTTGCAGGCTCAGCGCTTCTCCTTGGCCCTGGCACGTTGACCTCTGCAAACACGCGTGACTTAAATAAGGACTGAATTGGAGCAACAAGATAGGGGGCTGTTTACCAGGGCACTTATCTCCTGATGCGGTTATGCTGACACGAGACCAAAGGCATGAGGCTCTGCTTGGCGGGCACCACGCCACGGACGGACCAAGCCGCAGAGCAGTCGGCGATTTTCTGGCTGGACAAGGGGGCAGAGTCTAGGACGGGAACGCGGTGGGAAAAAATAACATCTCCAGGTGCAACTGCCCCTTAAAATGACACCTTTATGTTTATTTTCGCAATTGTCATTGTGTATTTGGAATCTGAAATCCTGAGTTTCTCTTGATACAGGAATAAATATCCACATTTCCTTCTTACTGCTGATCTCACTGAAGCCGTGTCAGAAGAAAATCACTACCTTCCTGGTAGTCTCAACTGAATTAGTCATTTTGAACCACTTAAAATGTGTAGTTTTTTTTCACTCGTGATAAAACCCCTGTAGCTAATAAAAAATTGGGAATAACAACTCCTAATTGATTGTTGCCATCACCTCTCCCCACCCCTAACGCACACAGAACACACACACCCTGGTTCTGTGTCCAATTTTAAAGTAAAGCAGGTTGATGAATTTGGTTTTCTGTGATTTTATTCAGCTCTATATCGCCAGACTGTTTGGGAGCTACCGGCTCGAGAAATGAAGATTCTCATCAAATAGACAGACGAATGAGGGTTCCTTTCCAAGATGAAGCCATGTCCTTGTTTCCAGGAGTTCGTTTTTTTTTTCTTTTTCTTTTTGAATGGTGGTGTTTATTTTTGCACACATTGGCCTTTTAGTTTGTTACCTAAGATGGCATAACAATATTGCTGTGAAATCTTCAGCACTGAGTCAGACTCTTTGGGCTTCATGTTTCTCTGAAGGTCTGTCCTGGAGACCCAGCTGCGGTTTCCTGGGCTCAGCTGACCTGGCGGGGCGGGGACGACCACCTGGGCCCGCGGCCAGCTCTCAGCCCCACCTCTTCTGTTATCAAGGGCTCTTTGGCCAGAGGGGGCTGTTTTGGCCTCATCGCCCCGTACGTTGGCCTCAGGAATGTTTGGCAGGAGGGGAAAAAAATAGAAAAGGTCAGTTTCATTTGAGGCCGGACAATCTCAGTGGTCACTTCCCACAAATGACCCGGCCGTGACTCAGTACTCACTTTCCTCCGGCCGCCTTGATAGCATCCACATTCCTCATGGGGTAATTAGTGAGCTTTAGTGAATCTTGACATCGGTGAGGTATCTACTCACCCCCTTCTCCCTCTGCCTCCTGTCTTCTCCCTCCAGGGGGTCCAAGCGGGCAGGTAGCCCCAATGGCACCTGTGCTTCTGAGCCCCAGTTTTGATCACATGGCATTTTTAGGGGGAGGATTATAAGCCAACTTTCTTTTAAAAATGGGAAGATTTCACTTACACACTAGATTTCTATCTTCTCCTGAAAATGACGGAAATCTAGCAAGACCAGACCCACACCTCCCCGAGGCAGCACCTGGCCAGGGCTGAGTACCCACCGCGCCCATCATTTTCCCGCAGTCGCCAGCACCCCCTGCGGCTGCCCCCGCTCAGGCCAGGCCCTTCCTGCCCGTCGCCCCGGTGCTGATACGTCTGTCTACCTGTCTTGCTCCCAGCCTGCACTTCTCTGTGGCTTTCCTGGCCCGTGAAAGCATTTGGATTTGCATTTCCCAAACCTTAGCTTTGGGGGTCTGGGGAGGAGAATTCGATGAAGCAGGTGTTAGTGTTTGACCGACAGCCTTGCTTCCCTCGGCCCCGTCACTGTCACTCGCAGAGACTCCGTGTCTCCCGGGGACAAGCCGGCATTGTTCCCCACCTGACGGAAGTCATTCAAAGTCAGGCAGGTGACATGTGCGCGGGACTTCTTCCCAATGGCC